CTTCTCTTCTTCTTTCCTTCCATCTCCCCATCTTTCCTTTCCCTTCCTCTTTCTTTCCTTTCTTCCTTCTCTTCCTATTCTTGGACTGCAACTCCCAGCAGTCCTCTTGATCAATCTATCTAACTACCTAACTATCTATCTCTATCTGATTTATCTATCTGGAGGCTTGCTGGGAGTTGCAGTTCAGGAACAGGAAATTGGAAATATGCAAGGATTGGGATGCTCTCAAAGAAATCCAAGGAAAAGAAAGCTTGCTGTTTGGAAACAGTGCATTTGGATCATCCTCCTCTCCTAAAGGTCCTGGTCTAGGGGTCCGTTCTACTGTGTTTTTCAGTGTTTTATGAGTGATGGTCACTTGTTGGCCTGAGAGGTGTATTGTGTCCAAATTTGGTGTCAATTCATCCAGTGGTTTTTGAGTTATGTTAATCCCACAAATGAACATTACATTTTTATTTATAAAACCCACCCGACACGAAAGCATCGGGAGCCGATTTCGACTCCTCCTCTGCTTTTTGGCATTACAGGTTAATCTTCTTTATTAATCCCCCAGCAAACAAAAATAAAACCCTTATTCCCTGAAAACGACTCTCCTCTTCCAGAGATCATCGCTCTTTCTTACCTGGAAGTGGGAAATCTCCTTAAAATGCCTTGGAAAGATATAGTGTGGAACGAAGGAATGTATAATTTCACTTGAGGGATCTGGAAGTTAAAGGGGGAATGTATATATACTATTTGTACTTTGATGATGGTCCAGGTGCAATGCAAGCTTGCATGCCTTGTGAAATAAAGTCCTAAATGTCCAGTGTGTGAAAATCTTTAGTCCTAAATATTGAACCTTTTTAATTGGGTCATTCCAATCCCCTCATCAACAGACAGAAATGGCATCTTCAAAGTTGAGCTTTTACATATTCATAGAGGAAGAATTAAGAATTAAGGAAGCTCCTTAAGTGGCTAAGGGGGGGAAAGAAGAGATGTGAGGCTGTTAGGAATGGTGGGAATTGGAGTCCAAAACACTTGGAGGGCTGAAGTTGGCCCATGCAGAAAGTTATTTTTTTCAAAATTTTAGTAAGATGGGAGTGTAGCACGGATGAGAATTTCAGCACATGGGGGACCAAGATATGGTAAAATATTTGGCCTGTCATGAGCACAAACTTCTCCAAAAGATTGACACTGAAAGAGGCATTTTACTCCACTCCCACACCTGGCAAATTCTTTACATCAATTGCCATCTTCAACAAGTAGGTTGTCTTTCCTTCTATAAGTCTATTAGCAAATGAAAACAGAGGAAAGCCTTTCTACTTGATACATGTTGACAATATATAGTGTTCAGTGTTTTAATTATAATGTATTAGGCAAAAAAGAGAGGCATTATAATGTAATGGTTTGGGCACTGAACTATCACTCTAGAGAGCAAAGTTTGAAGCTAAGCTCAGCCATTGAAATCCACTGGGTAAGTTACACTCTCTCAAACTCAGAAGGAGACCATGGCCAATCCCCTCTGAACATATCTTGCCAAGAAGGACCCGCTTAGGGTTTCCATAAGCCACAAATGGCTTGAAGAATCATAGAATCAAAGAGTTGGAAGAGACCTCATGGGCCATCCAGTCCAACCCACTGCCAAGAAGCAGGAATATTGCATTCAAAGCACCCCTAACAGATGGCCATCCAGCCTCTGCTTAAAAGCTTCCAAAGAAGGAGCCTCCACCACACACCGGGGCAGAGAGTTCCACTCAAATAAGTTCTCCTAGAGGACCTCAAAATTCAATGTCAAAGAGTGGCAACTTCTAAGGAACCAGCAGATTTTTCAAAACTGGAACAAAGACCTGACTTGTTTGCCCATACCTGCCTTAGACTCATCTGGACAACTTAGCAATTGTTATGGGTTCTGCACATAACAAAATAAGTAGAAAGATCATTTTTAGTGGACTACCTTGTTGACATAGGTACACAACAATGGGATCACACAGGATTGTATACAGGTTGTATACAGAGGTCTGGATGAAAGGCCCACAAGGTCTGAATGGCCCATGAGGTCTCTTCCATCTCTATGATCCTATGATACTAAGAAATGATAGGTATCTGCAAGAACCTTGCCTCACATTGAGGAGAGGCCAACTTGAGAAAAAGATCTTAAGGCCCTGAAACATACATGAATTTTACACATCAAGAGGCACAATGGGGGAAATTCAACCCCACCTACAAATATTAGGACGGGCCATCCAAGCCCAGCCAGTTGCTGAGGCGACAAATTGCAGGTTGCCTCAGGATCACTTCAGACATGAGGAGACATTGTTATTGCGTTGCTCCGCTAATGCGCTTTATTTTCCCCATTGCCAAGGGTCAGCGATGCAATTTAGCCCAAATAAAAGCAAGCTGCGTGGGATGCTCTCCAGATGGACACCTTATTATGGCAGGTGAATGGAAATGCTCTCTGCAGGGTACCTGAGAGACAGTGAAGTGATAACAATGGGAGGCATGGTAAGCGGGAAGAGGGTGGGCAGAAAAGAGAAGGAGAGGGAATGAGAGTCTGCTTCCGATTATTTCAATCTATGGCCGGTGAAAAGAGCCCGTCAACAGCTGACCTCAATAACCCAGATCTCATTTTTGCTAAAAGGGTGCATTTCCATTGGAAATGAGAAAAGGGAGATTTCTTACTGCTCTGAAAACCATCGGAAAAACCCAACAGTTCAAATCATACTCAGTGTGAGACAAAGTTCTTGCAGATATCTGATCGTTTCTTGGAATAAGACCTCTATATACAACCTGATCAAGAATCATGTGTGATTCTATTGTTGTGCACCTGGTCAATGACAAGGTTTGCTGTTCATTTGTTCTGTCACTTCCGACTCTTTGTGACCTCATGGACCTGCCCACGCCAGAGCTCCCTGTTGGCCGTCACCACCCCCAGCTCCTTCAAGGTCAAGCCAGTCCCTTCAAGGATGCTATCCATCCATCTTGCCCTTGGTCGGCCCCTCTTCCTTTTTCTTTCCATTTTCCCCAACATAATTGTCTTTTCTAAGCTTTCCTGTCTTCTCATTATGTGGCCAAAGTAATTCATCTTGGCCTCTACTATTCTTCCCTCCAATGAGCAGTCAGACTTTATTTCCTGAAGTATGGACTGGTTGGATCTTCTCGCGGTCCTAGGCYCTCTCAGAACTTTCCTCCAACACRACAATTCAAAAGCATCTCTTCATTCAGCTTTCCCTATGGTCCAACTCTCACAACCATAGGTGACTACAGGGAATACCATTGCTTTTACTATGCGGATCTTCGTTGCCAGTGTGATGTCTCTATTCTTCACTATTTTATCTAGGGTATGGTGATACTTGTTTTTATTAATTATAAGCCAAATGTGATGTTATTAATTGTTAATTGTTGTATTTCATCATTCTACTTTCATTTGACTTAGCCGATGGTTTGATGACCAAAATAAAGTCTACTGACTGACTGGCTTATCTAGGGAGGGTTAAGGAAGGAATGCTTTCAAAATGGCACTATGTTCCCCTTTTTGATTATTTTAGTATACTGACCAATTAATTCACCTGTCTTTCCTCCTCCAAGTTCCATCCTCCAAAGCACTAAAATTATGATTCTCTTGTTTGGTTGAGAATTTGGAATGTGACTACCTTATTCCAACATGTTTCTCTAGTGCTCTTTATTCAGATTTGATTCCTTCAAATTTTCAAGTACTGTAGTTTCATCTGCTGCCCTTCCTCTATACAGGGATGTTCCTATTGAAATGAATGGGATTCATTCCCATGTAAATGGACATACAGTTGTGCTCTGCTCCTATATGCCCTGTCTTTATTTTATTTTATTTTTATTGACTACTTCAATACCTTTGCTTCTCTCTGTGGGGAAAGGATAAAGGCAAAATCGATATCCATTTTGAGGTGACATTTCTATCAGTTATAGGTTGGTCTCTAGGGGGCAAATCCAGAGAGGTGAGACTCAGTTCCTAAACCCAGAGCAAGAAAATGTTGTGTGGGTTTGTTTGTTTGTTTTTGGACAGCTTGACACTCCCCTTTCCCCAAATCTGGGAACTGTAATCCAAAAAAACTCCAGCCATCCCTCCACATTTGCAGGTTTTACTTTTGCAGATTTCATTAGTCATAGATTTGAATAGGAAGTTGACGATAGGGTTGCACTAGACAGTGGTTCTCAACCTGGGGTCCCCAGATGTTTTTGGCCTTCAACTCCCAGAAATCCTAACAGCTGGTAAACCGGCTGGGATTTCTGGGAGTTGTAGGCCAAAAACATCTGGGGACCCCAGGTTGAGAACCACTAAACTAGAAGTTGCAGTGGACGTTGACCACAGAGTTGCATTGAAGGACGTAGACCAGTGGTTCTCAACCTTACTTATGCCGCGACCTCTTCATACAGTTCTTCATGTTGTGGTGACCCCCAACCACAACATTATTTTCATTGCTACTTCATAACTATAATTTTGCTCCTGTTAGCAATCATAATGTAAATATCTGATATGCAGGATGTATTTTCATTCACTTTACTAAATTTGGCACAAATACCCGATACGCCCAAATTTGAATATTGATATTGTGGGGGGAGGGGCTAATTTTGTCATTTGGGAGTTGTAGTTGCTGGGATTTATAGTTAATCTACTATCAAAGAGCTTTCCAAACTCCACCAACAATGGAATTGAACCAAACTTGTCACACAGAACTCCCATGACCAACAGAAAATACTGGACGAGTTGGTTAGCCATTGACCTTAAGTTTTGGAGTTGTAATTTACCTGCTGCATCCAGAGAGCACTGTAGATCAAATTTGACATGATAACTCAATATGCCCAAATATGAACACTGGTATATTTTGGGGAAAATAAATCTTGACATTTGAGAGTTGTAGTTGCTGGGATTTATAGTTCACCTACAATCAAAGGGTATTCTCAACCCCACCAACAATAGAATTGGGCCAAACTTCCCACACTGAATCCCCATGATTAACAGAAATGTTAAGTGTTTTCCAATGGTCTTTAACAACCCCTCTGACACCCCCTCATGACCTCCAGGGGTCCCGACCCCCAAGTTGAGAAACACTGACCAAGACATTCCTAGAGATAACACTTTTCTGGGTTTTGTAGGTCTTCCCGTGCGATTCTAGGGTCAACTTCCACAAGAAGCTGGTCATCAAGTTACATTGGAGGAGGGAGAGATTTCTATATCTATTTACTCAGTGAAAATTCAGATTTTTTTCCCACTCCCATGGGGGTCCTGTATGCATTACTTGAATGTGGAGGACTGACTGTAACCTCTCCAAAATCTGCCCAAAGCAGAGATTTGAGATGCTCTTGCACTTCCATCATCCATGCCCAGTGTACTCAATAGTGAGGAATGCTGGGAGTTTGAGTTCAATGAAATGCAGAAAACACATGATTCCCTCCCCAGCCCCAAACCCTCAAGTTCCACCCTCAAGTTCATTAAAGCCCCTTCTCATCATGATATCAAGCTGGTCTTTCTATCATCAAATTGGCAAAGAGCATCTGCACTGCTTGGCTGAGCATTGGGAACTGACGGGGGAAAGGGTAGCAGTTGAGATGGATGACCCACACAGTTCCTACTTGGAAGTATTGCAGCTGGAAAAGAACTTGGTTTTCTGCAGCGGATGAGGGGGAGGCATCTATAGGTCAGAGACCTCCCCTGAATAGGCGTTGGGTTCCTCCTCGGACCGGGTGGTCACCTTGAACTGGCGCCTGAGGAACCCTCCATAGCGCTTCTGATTGTCCCACTTGAGCTTTGGGCGGATCCTACGCAGGAAGCCTCCGTAGCGTTTGTGGAGGCCCTCCAGCTCTTGCTCATCATCTTCAGTGGCGGAAACCATTTCGTAGCCTCTCTTGGGGTATTTGCGGAGGAATCCCCCATAACGTTTCGTCTCATCTTTGAGAGACCCTGTATCTGACTCTGCTCCATTGTAGGCCAGATCTCCAGTCTCTAGCACTGTGGGGTAGTCTTCCATCGCCGGCTCAGAGGCTGCCCTCTCTCCAATCTTCCGGAAGAACCCACCATACTTCTTGCTGATGCCACCCTTGGTGAGGGCATTCTCCCGCAGCAGGGAGAAGATCCTGTTCTTGTCCAGCTTCTTCATGAATCCACCATAACGTTTGACCAGACTGGAATATGGCTCCTGGGGGGCTTCCTCCTCTTCCTCCAACTGGAAAGGTCTCTTGGCTTCCTCCTTCTCTTCCATCAAGAAAGGAATGAGGGTGGACAAGCTGTCTTTGCACTTCTCCCATTCTGCCCTGGATGGCAAGGAGCCCTGGCACTCCAGGGAGCAGATCTGCAAGACAACAACAAGGAAAGGTCTTCCTAGTTCTCCGAGAAAGATCACAAAGAAGTAAAAAAAGACTTGACAGTTCAATAGAAATGGATGCAAGCCTTGTTATTTAGATGTTTTATATCCATATATACTTCAAATGTCTATGTGTGTGTGGATGTATAAACACACACTGGACACACTGGATATGCCAGTATGTCTGTGTTGGGAAGTTGTGGAATATATATATATATACACACACACACATACATACACACACACACACACATATAGTTGGAGTGTATATGTGTGTGTATGTATAATCTACAACCTCCCAACACACACATACTGGTAAATCCACAAAATGTGTGTCCATTGTGTGTTTATATATATATATAATTACTGGCATCCTTGAAGTGACTGGACTGACCTTGAAGGAGCTGGGGGTGGTGACAGCTGACAGGGAGCTCTGGCGTGGGCTGGTCCATGAGGTCACGAAGAGTCGGAGACGACTGAACGAATGAACAACAACAACAATAATTACTGAAATTCACATTCTATCTATCTATCTTCTACAACTTGCCAACATACACATATTGGCAGAGCGTGTGGGTGTGTGCATGTGGGTGTGTGGAGTTGTGGAAATATAGTGGAATTAATGCAATATCATCCCCACAATATCCCCTCAAGACACACACTTCAGCAGAGCCACTTATTTCCCACGTGAATGTGTGTATTTCAGGGGAGAGTTGAGGGAATATAGTAAAATTAACACACACAAAAGAAAGTTGTGTTCTCCACAACTTCCTTTCACAGATATTGGCATATCCACACTCATGTGTGTGTTTGTGTGTGTGTGTGTGTGCATGCAATACATCTACTTCCAAAGAGAGAAGGAGACAAAGAGGGAAGGAAGGTTGGCCATAGCAACACGTGGCGGGTACAGCTAGTGTGTGTGTGTGTGATACACACACACAAATACATAATGTTTGTGTTTTAAAAAAGAAGAAGAAGACAATGTAACCTAGTGAATTCTCACCTACACAATACTAACAAATAGAATTGATTTTTAGATCTATATGGCAATTGTTAAAATTAGATAGAATACATGTAAAGTACTGGAAAAGAAGACAAGAAGAACATCAGATAGTATGGGAAGACATGTCAACAGGTTTTAACATCGGACGACAATAATGTGTTCTTTTCTGCCAAAACTTTAGACAATGTGTATAATAGTACTTGAGGTGAAAATATAGATGCAAAAATTATAACAATAATTAATTAATTAATTAATAATTATAACAATATCCTTGAAGTGACTGGCTTGACTCTGAAGGAGCTGGGGGAGGTGACGGCCGACAGGGCGCTTTGGCGTGGGGTGGTCCATGAGAGTCGGAAGAGACTGAATGAATAAACAGCACAGCAATTATAACAAATGTAAGGTTTCTCCTCCCCTTCGATCCCCTTCCTCTTCCTCGGTGGCATAGTACATGTTTATATAGTTCTAATCTACTAATCAGAACTCCATTACCCTCATCTCCTTCTTTGTTCTCCTTTTTAATTTGTGTCAAAATGTCTTTCTTTCTTTCTTTTTTGAAATGCATAATGAAAGCTTATGGGAAAAATGATTTGACAGTTTTGTAATGAAATAAGGCAGTGTTTCTCAACCTGGGGGTCGGGACCCCTGAGGGGGTCGCGAAGGGGTGTCATAGGGGTCGCCAAAGACCATCAGAAAACACAGTATTTTCTGTTGGTCATGGGGATTCTGTGTGAGAAGTTTGGCCCGATTCTATCATTGGTGGAGTTCAGAACATTCCTTGATTGTGGGTGAACTATAAATCCCAGTATCTACAACTCCCCAAACTCCCCAAACCCCATCAGTGTTCACATTTGGGCATATTGAGTATCCGTGCCAAGTTTGGTCCAGATCCATCATTGTTTGAGCCCACAGTGCTCTCTGGATGTAGGCGAACTACAACTCCCAAACTCAAGGTCAATGCCCACCAAACCCTTCCAGTATTTTCTGTTGATCATGGGAGTTCTCTGTGCCAAATTTGGTTCAATTCCATTGTTGGTGGGGTTCAGAATGCTCTTTGTTTACATGTTAACTATAAATCCCAGCAACTACAACTCCCAAATGACAAAATCAATCCCAGCGCCAACCCCACCAGTATTCAAATTTGGTCATACCGGGTATTTGTGCCAAATTTGCTCCAGTGAATGAAAATACATCCTGCAGATAATTATTTACATGGCGATTCATAATGTTACGGTTATGGTTGGGGGTCACCACAACATGAGGAACTGTATTAAGGGGTCGCGGCATTAGGAAGGTTGAGAACCACTGAAATAAGGGTTTACTTTGGATCTCATCAAGATGGGCTACATAATTTTTCTTGTTGTTGTTTATTCGTTCAGTCACTTCCGACTCTTTGGACCAGCCCAGGCCAGAGCTCCCTGTCGGCCGTGGCCACCCCCAGCTCCTTCAGAGTGAAGCTAGTCACTTCAAGGATGCCGTCCATCCATCTTGCCCTTGGTCGGGCCCTCTTCCTTTTTCCTTCCTTTTCCCCCAGCATCGTCTTCTCCAAGCTTTCCTGTCTTCTCATTATGTGGCCAAAGTACTCTATCTTTGCCTCTAATATCCCTCCCTCCAGTGAGCAGTCAGGCATTATTTCCTGAAGTATGAACTGGTTGGATCTTCTCATGGTCCAAGGCACTCTCAGAATTTTCCTCCAACACCACAGTTCAAAAACATCTATCTTCCTTCGCTCAGCCTTCCCTAAGGTCCAGCTCTCACATCCGTAGGTTACTATGGGGAATACCATTGCTTTAACTATGTGGATCTTTGTTGCCCAGTGTGATGTCTCTACTCTTCACTATTGTATCGAGATTGGTCCTTGCTCTCCTCCCAAGAAAGAAGCGTCTGCAATCATCTTTGCACCTAGAAATACAAAGTCTGTCACTGCCTCCACATTTTCTCCTTCTGTTTGCCAGTTATCAATCAGTCCAGTGACCAGAATCTTGGGTTTTTTATGTTTAACTGCAACCCAGCTTTTGCAGTTTCTTCTTTCACCTTGATTGGATGGCTCCTCAGCTCTTCCTCACTTTCAGCCATCAAAGTGGTATCATCCTCATATCTAAGGTTGTTAATGTTTCTTCCAGCAATTTTAACCCCAGCCTTGGGTTAGGAGACCTTATTTAGCCAGTAAGTTGAGGATCTGGAATGTTGCAAATCTGAGTTACAACATGTAGTTGCTCTGATTCATCTTCATGTACATAGAACAATATATCTTGTCGCTTCATGGCTTGCTACTGAGAGAGAGCTAGATATGTCGTCATTCACCACCTTGCTCTCCAGCACCATAAAAAATCCTCTGCTGGAATGGCGACATAGCCTAAAAGATAGTTTTGGGAAGAGGAGCATCAGAAAATGCAGCTACGGAGAGGTTGCAGTATTATCATAGTTTCATCTCCTGATGGAAGATTTTGTCTATTATTAGATCTTAGCCAGAATCCTGTTAATGACATAGATGTGTGTAAGTATCCTGTCTTATGCACATATATGATTTCTTCTGGGTGGCTATTCTCTAGCCTTTTCCACCTCATCGAAAGACATCCACCAAGATGCTGCTGCTGCTGTTGTTTATTAGCAAGCAACTCATACGAAGAAGTGGCTGATATGCTTGATTAAAGTTACAATAAATGTGTTTTGTTGAACAGGGCCTCAAACCTGATAAGAATTCAAGTGTCACGCTTTATCTGCAGAATTTTATTCACTCGGCTAGGCAGGGATAATAAACCGATGGCCCATGCCATAACTTACCAAGGGTTTGATGGGCTTCTCTACATCCTGGACCTGCAGAGCGCATGCAGAGCATTGAGTAGCACAGTCTGCAAAAGCAGAAGGAGCCAGACCAAAGCAAATGGTCAGTCCCAAAAGCTGCCACGCCATTCTTCCCAGCAGACACCTGAAGGGGAAGGGAGAGAGAGAGATACATGATTACTCATTTGTTTTGGGGGAGAAGGAGTCACGACCCAAAAGCATCCAAAATACCAGCAGCTCTGAGACAGCAAGAGCCAGTGTAGCATAATGGTTTGAGCACACAGTAATAACTGGGCCAGTCACCAAGCCTGTCTTGGATGGTTGGAGATATTGTACTTTAATGATACAGCACAATAGTAGACCATGCAAAAGGTCCCAGGTTCACTCTCAGTGAAAAATGTTTGGAACCGGGAGAATCCATCCATCCGTTTTGTGGTTTGAAGTCATTTCTGACTTCTGGTGGCACTGTTCCAAATCTTTCTTGGCAAAATGCATTCAGAAGGGGTTTGCTATTGCCTTCCTCTGCGGCCAAGATTGACTTTTCATAGAACAGAATCATAGAGTTAGAAGAGACCTCATGGGCCATCCAGTCCAACCCCCTGCCTAGATGCAGGACTTGCCCAAGGTCAGGCAATGTGTGGATACTCAGAGATTCAAACCCTGATCTCCAGAGACGTAGTCCGACATTCAAACTAATACACTTTGCTTGCTCTCTTAGATTGCTCACGTTGTCTGAATTATTTCAGTTGTTCTAAAGTGTTCCCATTGATTTGACTTGCATGTGGCTCTTTTTTGCTAAGATAAAATAAGCAGTGAGGGGGAATATCCCATGAGCTTAGATGTCTCTATGCTAATACACAGACCATGGGAAATAAACAAGATGAACTGGAACGCTTAACACAACAAAACACTTATGATGTAATAGCCATCACTGAAAAATGGTGCGATGAGTTCTATCATTGGAATGTAGTAATGGAGGGGTATAACTTATTTCAGAGCAATAGACCAAATAGGAGATGGGGAGGGGTAACATTATATGTTAAGGATGTTTACACCTGTGAAGAGATGTAAGGTTTCAATCCTGACAATCAGATTGAGAGCATCTGGATAAGAAATTAAGGGAATGAGGACCGAAAAAGATGTAGTTGTGGGGGTCTACTAAAGACCTTCAGGCCAGACTGAAAAACTGGATGAAGCCTTCCTTGACCAGATAACCAAACAAGCAGAAAGAAGAGATCGAGTAGTAAAGGAGTTGTTGATTCGTTCAGTCGTTTCCGACTCTTCGTGACCTCATGGACCAGCCTACGCCAGAGCTCCCTGTCGGCCGTCACCACCCCCAGCTCCTTCAAGGTCAGTCCAGTCACTTCAAGGAGGCCATCCATCCATCTTGCCCTTGGTCGGCCCCTCTTCCTTTTTCCTTCCATTTTCCCCCAGCATAATTGTCTTCTCTAAGCTTTCCTGTCTTCTCATTACGTGGCCAAAGTACTTCATCTTTGCCTCTACTATCCTTCCCTCCATGAGCAGTCAGGCTTTATTTCCTGAAGTATGGACTGGTTGGATCTTCTGGTGGTCCAAGGCACTCAGCACTTCCCTCCAGCACCACAGTACAAACGCATCTATCTTCCTTCGCTCAGCCTTCCCTATGGTCCAGCTCTCACATCCATAGGTGACTATGAGGAATACCATTGCTTTGACTAGGCGGATCTTTGTTGCCAGTCTGATGTCTCTACTCTTCACTATTTTATCGAGACTGGACATTGCTCTCCTCCCAAGAAGTAAGCGTCTTCTGATTTCCTGGCTACAGTCTGCATCTGCAGTGATCTTTGCACCTAGAAATACAAAGTCTGTCACGGCCTCCACGGTTTCTCCCTCTATTTTCCAGTTGTCAATCATTCTTGTTGCCATAATCTTGGTTTTTTTGACGTTTAGCTGCAACCCGGCTTTTGCGCTTTCTTCTTTCACCTTGATTAGAAGGCTCCTCAGCTCCTCCTCGCTTTCGCCCATCAGAGTGGTGTCATCTGCATATCTGAGGTTGTTAATGTTTCTTCCAGCAATTTTCACCCCAGCTTTGCATTCATCAAGCCCCGCACATCGCATGATGTGTTCTGCATACAAGTTAAAAAGGTTGGGTGAGAGGATGCAGCCTTGCCGTACGCCTTTCCCAATCTTGAACCAGTCTGTTGTTCCGTGGTCAGTTCTGACTGTTGCTACTTGGTCCTTGTACAGATTCCTCAGGAGAGAGACAAGGTGGCTTGGGATGCCCATCCCACTAAGAACTTGCCACAATTTATTATGATCCACACAGTCAAAGGCTTTAGAATAGTCAATGAAGCAGAAATAGATGTTTTTCTGAAACTCCCTGACCTTTTTCCATTATCCAGCGGATATTGGCAATCTGATCTCTCGTTCCTCTGCCTTTTCTAAACCCAGCTTGAACATCTGGTAACTCTCGCTCCATGTATGGCATGAGAAATAAGGGCCACTGTACGGAAGTTTGAGCAGTCTTTCGCATTTCCCTTTTTTGGTATGGGGATATAAATTGATTTTTTCCAGTCTGATGGCATTCTTGTGTTTTCCATATTTGCTGGCAAATGGCATGCATCACCTTGACAGCATCATCTTTTAAGATTTTAAACAGTTCAGCTGGGATCCCGTCGTCTCCTGCTGCCTTGTTGTTAGCAATGCTTCCTAAGGCCCATTCAACCTCACTCCTCAGGATGTCTGGTTCTAATTCATTCACCACACCATCAAAACTATCCTCAATATTATTATCCTTCCTATACAGATCTTCTGTATAGTCTCGCCACCTTCTCTTGATCTCTTCAGCTTCTGTTAGGTCCCTGCCATCTTTGTTTCTTATCATACCAATTTTTGCCTGAAATGTACCTCCAATGTTTCTAATTTTCTGGAAGAGGTCTCTTGTCCTTCCTATTCTGTTGTCTTCTTCCACTTCCATGCATTGCTTATTTAAAAATAGTTCCTTATCTCTTCTGGCTAACCTCTGGATAACCTATGTCATTTTATAATGTGTATTTTATTTGTTATTTTATGTATTTTATTTGTTATTTCTTGGGCCACTTCCAGTGTCTCAGCAGACAACCATTTTGCCTTCTTGGTTTTCTTTTTCTTTGGAACGTACTTTGTTGCCGCCTCCTGAACAATGTGTCGGACTTCTGTCCATAGTTCTTCTGGGACTCTGTTTACTAAATCTAGTCCTTCAAATCTGTTCTTCAGTTCCACTGTATATTCGCTAGGAATGTTAGTGAGATCATATCTAACTGGTCTGTGTATTTTCCCTGATCTCTTTAGTTTTATTCTAAATTGGCAATAAGAAGTTCGTGATCTGAGCTACAGTCAGCCCCAGGTCTTGTTTTCACCGACTGGATGGATGTCCGCCACCTTTGACTGCAAAGATGTAGTCAATCTGATTTCAGTGTTGACCATCTGGTGAAGTCCATGTATAAAGCCATCTTTGAGGTTGTTGGAAGAGCGTGTTTTTTATACACAGTGAGTTTTCCTGGCAAAATTATATCAGCCTGCATCCCGCTTCATTTTGTTGTCCCA